ATTCTCATTGCACTAAAATAATTCACATTTGAGTACAACCCATTTCTACTTTGTATAAAAGACGTTTTTGTGTTGCTTTTGATTTCGGAAACGCGCCGCTGTGGCCATTTGAACTGTAAAGTAAGCCAAGCCGCAAACGTTGATACCCATTTTCATTCGCAACCAGCTTCTAGCCTAGTTGCTGCTCTGACATTTTAAATAATTAATGTTTAATGCATAAGGCGACAGTGGGAGAGGGAGATGGAAAGGGGTAAAGTAGTGGAAGTGGGAGATGGCAAGCACTCGTTGCCAGCAAGGGTTGGAGCTAGAGCTGGATCTGTTTAACTGGGAAACAGTTTGCCATGGCTGCCGAAACTCGGCAGGAATAAGTGGAAGCTAAACTCAACTAAATGGAACTCAGCCTCCTGCACTCGACTGTTATCTAGCTCGCCGCTCGATGGGGCCTGCCCTGGCGCAGTGCTCATAAATAAAATATATTTTAATGTTTTTACGTAATTATGGCAAACCAATTAAATATTAAATAACATTGCGTTAACTATGCTTGCGGCTGCATACCAAGCTTCAGCTGCTGCTGCCGCAGATCCACAGCCCACCGACCATCACCCACCGCCCGCCACCTCCTGCTCAGCCACAGCCTGACAAGTTGGGATAGCCCTCTTGGCCGGTTGCTGACAAATCAATCAGCAAACGTAATAAACTACAGACAGGACACAGATTCAAAAAGCCAGACAGACAACAATTTCCGCTTTGCAATTGGCATCTGTGTGTGCAAGTGTATGTGTGAGTGTGTGTGTGTGTGTGTATGAGTGTGGTCCAAGGTCTAAAAAAGGCCGACAACAAGCAGCTATAGCTGGCATCCTCTACTCCAGCTGCCATAACAAAATGTCTGATGCTCTGATAAAAGCGAACATAGGGGAAGAGAGGCAAGAAGAGAGAGAGAGAGGTGGAGAGTGAAAGAGCACACTGACGACAAGCACTCGAAACTGCTTACAGCTCAAGCCTGGGCCCCAACTCAATGCCCTTCCAATTGAATGCACAGCAGGTGGCGGCTCACTCGAAGCACTGGATGCTGAGCTCTCGCTGATATTATCACTTCCTGGACATTATTTGCCGCCATAGGCCAAAAGGCTTAGCCCGGGCAGCGCATCGCAAAGATGCGTTTGCGACAATCTTGGCAACGGCTCTTCTCGAGCAACGGCTCTTCAATATGCGAGGGTTGTTTTAAGACTACTGTGCGGTTTGCTTGAATAGAATATAATTTTTGTGATA